CCTCCTTGATCTCCGCTGGATATTTCAAGACTGGAAGTCAAGAACACTTGGTCATCGGACACACGCACGAGGATATAGGCAGCTTTTGTTTGCTCATTGCACTGCAGTGATATAGTAATATATATATATACATATCTGTGTGTATGTCCCTTCACCTTTTTGACCCAGCAGATGCATATTTTGGATTATTGACCAAGTACATCCGGGATGGTGATGAATCAGTGTTCCTCATTCGCATTGGTTTAACCATTGCAGGCACAACAACAACAACAGTTTGTTCCATTGTAGGAAACAATTCTGGAGGTGATTTCTAGTCTTTGAGGCAAACACCTGATGACATAGTCAGGCGAGATGTGCTTGTTAAACTGGCTTGAGGTGTTGAAGGATGCTTACAACTTCATTCATGTCTGTGACAGGCTTCTCCGGAGACAAGTGGCCCCGCTGTTCGAACGTCGTGGACTGCATTTTGATGTCCAATACATCAAGAGTGTGAGAAATTGGTCAGACACTCTACCACCTTTCTCCAAAATGTTTGGTGCATACAAAAAGCGCTCTCTTGAAGACGAGAAGATTGCACCACATAGTTTCACATTTCTTTGCCGAGAAAGTCACTCGGACAAACAAGTGGTTCAGTGAATTTGATATATAGGTATATAGTTGTTTTTGATATTTTGAATATGATATTATATTATTATTAACAGCATAGTGCATGATAAAATGGTTTGCTAGGTATGCCGCGGAATCTCTTGAACCAGGCAGAGGACAGGCTGCGAGCTCCTTTTCACAGAACTGACCAGGATGTATTTTGTTTGGTCAAGAAGTATGTCAGCGACACACAGCTTTCACAACCAGCTCTGCTGGTTTTTCCGGGCAGTGAGCGAGATCGTTTGGATGAGACAATCAGAAAGATTGGGGAAGGAACTGTATCTTGTGTGGGGCTAAGATTTCAATCAATGGTCCTTCAAATGTGATTTTGTTCAACCTCCCTTGCTAATTCCTCAAATTGTTGAATGTCTCCACAGGTACAGCCACATATATTGCGGACGATCGCAAGGAGGAGTTGCGCATGCTGGCGAAGCACTTGAATGAGTTTTACCCTCATTGTCACAGGGGTGCCAGGTACTTGTTGCAATTGGCAGGTGATGTGGCCATGGATAGGCCTAAACCTCCCAGCCTGGAATGGATTTTGAATGGGGCATCCCCTCACATACTGCGGGGGACTCCAAGCTTGAATGAACCATCACCGCAAGCAGTGCACAAATTGAAGGTTCAGTTCCATCGGCATTTCTAAGAAACTGCCCTTTGTGACCGGCCAACCGTGCTTTCAGGTTCTTCTGCATGTCAGGGAAAATGATGTGTATTACCTCTTGGTTTTTGCAAGTTAGATGAACCGGCCTTGAATGAACAGTTTGTTTCAAACCAAATGCAACTTTGTTATATGTGATTGTTTGGGCAACACTGCACAGTGTTTTTTCCTGCAAGGGCTCACAGCTTTATGGTTCTGACATGTTCTGATTAGAACGTGACACAGTCCCTGGCTCCAATGACTCTTGAAGATGTCAAGATGGAAGCCAAGAGAGAGGATGTCAAAACAGAAGTCAAAGCAGAAGTCAAAGTGGAACACAAGGCTTCCTCCTGTGAAAACCAAGGGTGTTTCAGTGTTTTGTAAATGTGGGATGTTGTGTGATCATTGTTGTTTGCCGCCAGGCAATGGAGTGTGCAAGCGTGAAGGACAAGGTCATGGCCGCGTTTGATGAGGCACTTTCGGAAAAGTTTTCTACACACACCAAAACTTTTCCAGAGAACCTTCTTGGGTAGGTGTGCGACCAGATGAACCTGGGTCAATGGATGTGGGACAGGTATCATAACGATCCTCTTCAGTTTTGCGAGGCCAGCAGTTTTGTCCTGGGCAATGGGTTTTGGGGCGTGCTTAAACTCAACTCTTTTCAGTGACAGGTGATGGGACGATACTGTTCTGTACCACAGGTCGCGGAGAGCATCCCGCGAATCTCTGGGCCAAAGCGCGCTGATGTACCAGGTGGTTCCTGCAAAGGGTTTTACTTGAACCCTTGGCATTTGTCCTTTGCAGAGAATGCCAAATATGGACGGTTCCCTCCCAACGTGCAGCTCCGTGCCCACATGGGAAGCTTTTTGTCCAGAGGGTATGAAACAGAAAGGGAGCCCTTGGAGGTTCGCTTTGATCAGGGTGAGAACACCCCCATCGAGTACTTCACGGTCAAATACGTTGATGGTCACACAAAAGGTTTGATTGTTCAGTCCATCTTCGCTTTGTTGGACTATTGCGCCTGGTGCCCAGTGTATGAACAACTCACAGTTGAATGGCAGTAAATCCTTTTTTTACCATAACAAAAAAATCATTCTAAGGGCATCGATCCTGCAGAACTTGGGGAAGATCTGCACATGTGCAAGGTTGTCGCCACCCTGAAGTACTTGAGGGCAAACTATTCAGCCCAAGATTCCCCAGAGCGCTTCCTCTATGAAGCACTGAGTTTCCTGGGAATGTTCAGAATGATTATAATATATATATAATGATACACTTGCTTTGGGTGACCATCACACATTAGAAAGCAATCCATCTTGGAAAATGCTTAGGCTTACTAGGTGAAAACATCAACGTGTCTCTTTTCAAGTTCAAGTAGAATGTGTTTTTTGAACACTTGCCTGGACAATTTCAAGGCTTGGCAAATCGTACTTCCGACAAGCAAAGACCGGGACCTCTTGACTTGACACTGCTATTCAAAGAAATCGTTCGCCTGAAGAAAATATCCAGTCCAACGAGCAGTACTAGAGATCTCTTGATGAAAGCAGTTCAGGAGTACAACAAATCCATCTCCAACAGGAACTGGAGGGTCAAAGATGAAGTGAAGAAACTTGTGTACAATCTTATCCGTTGCCCAGTGGATGTGTTGGATCTCCTCAAGAGGACCTGTGACAAGTACCGGTGGGAACAGTCGGCTTTCACTCTAGAGAACCTTGAGGGTGACTACTACATTCCTGGCCACGTGATTGGCAACGTCCAGTCACAGCCATGGAGGGAATACAAGGTTCGCAACACTGTCACTCTGTTTTTTTGGTTTGTGTGTTTCCTGGAGTGGATGTTCTTTTCCAAATCAGGTTGTTGAAACTTTGACTCAGCAAGAGAAATCCTTCACTTAGAAATCCCTGTTCAGACTGTCACAGAGAACAGCGTGATCTTGTGGTTCAACAGAGTTGCTATGGACCATGAGAGGAAGGCGCCCAAGGACACATCAGGAAAGCAAAAGGCCAGGTATGGTAAACTATGTTTGGTACTGAGTGCCCTTAACAGTGGAACCTTGCCTATGAATTTCTTCATAGGTTCTACATGCGCGCTTTAACTTTAAAATGGCTGTGGGGGTTGAGGCTTAGGCATTTCCTATCTAAACATTGAACTTATTCTTACTGTTTCTTAACATTGAACTGATCCTTTCCCTGCCAGAAAATGGCACAGCTTTCATCTGCACAAATGTGTGAGATGCTTGAAGTGTGCAACCTGTGGACCAAGATCGCACCGGACCTCAACACTTACTTGGGAACAGGTGAGTCCTGGACAAAGATCGAAGCAATGTGGAACCAGGGGTCACTTGGTTTGTAAATGTTTGCAAAACAAGGAAAACCTATTAAAATAGTGTATGTTTTTGTGAATGGACACAACATAATTTTGTACACTGATTTTCAAAAACCAATGTACAAAATGGTCCCTTTGGGGGGGGGGGGATGATTTTTCCAGTGTTTCAAAATATGAGAATAAATCTTCCCCCCTCTGAAAAGGATAGGTTTTGTACATTGGTTTTTGAAAATGGAGACATGATCTGGAGATTTGATGGGAATGGTAGAAATACATTGTTTTATGATCATTCACTGAAATTGAGTAAAAGATATATGTATACATCCTTTTTCAAAAACCGAGACGTTGACAGGGCTCTGGAGACAAGGACAGGACACACTTTGTTCAAAACCGTGTACAAATCTGAGACCGGAAAAAAAAACCGAGACGTTGGAAGGGTGAGAATTTGGGATCTGGGAGTGGCCATGGGACAAAACGAGACATTGACCCCCCCAACTTTTGGGGCCATTGGACAAAACGAGACATTGACCCCCCCCACTTTCGGGACCAGCTGGGTCACTGGGCAAAAACCGAGACATTCCAAGCCTGTCAATTGAGTTTAGAGAAACACATCAACAACATATATCACAGAATACTGGATGACAAGCTGTGACATTCTTTGTAAATGTGGGAGGTTTGACAATTACAGATTGCTATTGGTTTATTTTGTTCAATCACTGTTGCCAATCCAGGCTTCTTGACCATGAACTCCGCATGCACATCAAAGCTGCAGATGCTACATTCGACCCGAAGAAGTTGAGCTTTGTCTTGGATGCGTGCGGAGTTGTACAGGAAGCTGAGATTGTGAAAGCACAGGGCCGCATACAGAGTGCTTTCCGACAATCGCTACAAGCAGGATTCACTCTGTTCAAGACCAATTTGGAGTCAGACCAAGTGAATCACAGGAGACATCTTATGGCGGCCACTGGGGATTCAGCGAAGCAGCGTGCAGCGATTGTAGGTTCATTGGAGGCCTCAAAGTTTCAAAACATGTTCTTAGAACTATCCGAGATGAGTTGTAAATAGACTTAAACTTGGAGCTATGTTTAACAACTTTTGGAACAATTGAACTTTCCACACCCTGCCAGAAAATGCACAATACTGGGTGGAAGATCGCCAATGCTTTCATTGCTGAAGCTTGCCCAACATGGAACAATTGTGCTGAAAAGAAAAGCTCCTGGGCGTGTTAATTCAGATTCTAGTTGGTTGCACCTAAACGCTCTGCTTTTGCTAGTTGGTATTGCTAGTGTGGTCAAACTAGTTCAAGCCAATTCGATTACTCTCAGGTCGGAAGCACACTGATACAGAGGATGCTGACAGCTCCGGTACATTGGCTGCCAAGCTAGAACCATGGATGCAAAACACCCTGGCAGGGTTCAACCAAGGGATTCGTCGAATGGACAGAGAGTGCATTGTGGCATGGTGCTGTTACCCAGCAGCTGGCGTCATAAGCTCATCGAAACAGCACTTCCTTCTTCAACAAGTGACAAGCCTATGCCATTCGAACCCAAAATCACTGGTTGCTGTGGTGGTTATGCCTAATCGTGCCGGTGACTTGAGAGCCCCAGGCACCAAGATCCTCAGCCTACATTATATAGTATTTTTGACTATTAGACATCCATTCAAAAACATAGTTTCACACAAACACACATTGTTATGTGTTTATTGAACAGTAAGTAAAACAAGTGCTAAAGTCTGCATTATACAAGATCTTAGGGCAGAGGACGATGAGGAGGATGCCGATGAGGAGGAGGAGAAAGGGGTCAAGGATGTGACCGGTGATGGGGCATTTGATGCAGGTGCCTTGCATGGGTGTGATTCAGTCAGAGGTTACTCATTTACATTTCTGTTCACTTCATCTCACTAAACCAATACCACTCTTAAACATTGACATAAATGTTTTTGGCAAAATAAGTGGCTTCAATTGGTTTCAAGGTGACTGCGATGACGTGGACGGCGATGACGGTGAGCGGGATGAAACTGACTGTGTCCTGCGTGACTTCCAGTACAAGCTCACATGCAAGTTCATGGAGCGTGAGAGGAATCTGAAGGCTGGAGGGTTGACTTATATACCATTCAATATTTCACATGACAGCCTTACTCTGGAGGTTAGTTCACTGGCAGGGATTTAGTTCACTGGCAGCCTTACTCTGCAGGTTCGGACAGCCACGGTGTGCTTTGAACCAAGCTCTATCTATGGCAACCGGACTGGCTATCACAGCTTGCTACTCATCACTGCTAATGACAAGACCAACCAGTTTCATCGCACCGCGTTTTGGAGGAGTGGCCTTACAACAGGTGCTGAGATGCTCCCTCGAACCTCTATGCTCAAGCTCCCCAAGGGGGATGGGCGATTTGGTGGAGATGGGAGATTCACAAAGGTGCAAGAGCTCAAACAAGCCACTTGCACTGCCATTTAACAGCATTTGTCAGCTTCAAATATCCCCTATTGAGTTATTGAGCCCCACTGGTTAAAACATTCACTACAGATCTCAGAGAAAATCCAACAATGAAGGCTTGTGGTGGCCTCTCTTTCATTGGCACCATTTGTGAAGCTTTGCACCCTTCCACAGAGTGTCCAACACTGATCCTTGACTTGCTGGCGTTTGATGGGTGGCCATCGTGCTATGCCATTTCCCAGGTGGCAAAGGGCCCCTTGGTGTGTAATTCACAAGTGTTCCATGGTTTTGAATTGAACAGTTATTTTTTCCTTTTTCTGACTCCACATTCATTGAGAAAGTTCATGTTCAGTTCTCAAATAGTTGCTGAGTCAGGTCGAAAGTTTGCAGCGGGAGCGGTTTGCCACAGTGGGCAGTCAGCCTCGTTCTGTGGGAATTTGATTGCACAGAAGGTCTTTGGCATGTGTCGCACAGAGCACCTATCCTTGCCTGGCTTTCCCAACTTTGCTGAGGCCTTGCGGTCCCTGAAGGCAATGGACAAGGTGTCTTGCCCCAACTATGAGGTTTGCATTGCGCTTGGCAATGGCACCCTTGTCATCAAAGAGGCGTTGGTGGAATTGTGGTCCAAGAAGCACGCTGAGTTCGCAGCGGAGACAGAAGAGTTGCTGAAGAATCACAATGCTGAGTTCAACCGAGAGAACATCAAAAGAGGACTTGAGAAATCGAATGAATCAGAGACAAAGAATGAGCCTATCAAGAAACTATGCTTGGAAGGCACTTTGGAAATTGATGAGTTCGAGAAGCAGCACTCTGACAGGTCTGGAAGTCTTAAACGGCTGTTCATCTGTCATTGGATTTTATATACCTGGGGGTGCTGTTCATCTTTTTGGAGGTAGTTTTGTTTTGTTTTGTTATTAAGCATTGTTGTTCCCTTGAAGGCTGTCACTGCCCTGTGGAACTTTCACTCTTCACTGGTGCAAGGAGAAAGCACTGCTCTACATCACAGCGGAAAAGGATTGCACCGCTGCTGCCAACACTGAGCTTTTTGGAATGGGGAGTGGGGACTTTCTCCAATCCACTGAAGCGGAGGACGTCATGAGTGACACAAGCAGTGGTGGGCGCTGGCTGCACTTCAACCTTTCTGGTGGGGGCGATTCACTTGTCATCCTAGATGATGGGGACAGGAAAGCCCCACAACATTTGAAGAACCTAGACATCCACAACAAGGTGAGGGTTGAACTAAATAACACACATTGTGCAAAAGTTAGTCTTGGCATCTCAAATGCCACAAAGAAACATGAACATCACAAATCCAACAGGTGCTGACTCTCAAGAATCTGCTGGAAGAGCTGGAGAACTTGGGGGAAGTGAACTTGGGATTGGCCGGGCATCAAATTATCAAGGAAGGGGGAAACCTCAACCTCGCCCTAAAGGACAAGATTTGCTTTGCGTTGGACCCTTTGAAGGACAAGAAGAAGCAAAAGGCTGCTAGCTAAAAACATTTATATATCTTTAAGGCTTTTGTATTTGGTTTTCTTTTCAGAGCTGGGAACTTCTCACCATGTGGTAGGTGGTTTGGCTGCAAAAGACCTCCCGGCCCCAAGATGCCTCACAGGCTACCACTGGCTCGACTGTGACCTTCGGCGCGAAACTCGACCTGGCCAAGCTGCGCTCGAACCAGAACATGGCACTAGCTTGGAGGCTCAGGCACCGTGTCTTAAAAACAAACCAGCAATACTGCTGCACCCTAAGAGAAGCAACTGAAAACTGTTCAACTCTTCGTTTTGGGTTTTCAATATCTTTAGCCCTTTGCACAGGATCCACGTGGACTCATCAGAGTTGGTGCCTGTGAGGCCCTCCTTTTTGTTGGCCGGCTCAGTAGAAGTCAAGGCTAAGAAAGCTTTGCAGCTCATGTGACCATTGAGATTCTTGGGTTCCAGTGTCAGTGAGAGATAGATTAGATTGGCACTGGCTTTGGGAGTTCTGAATGCGTCCAACCCCTCAATCGATCATTGCACAGTCCTTGGTTGGTGTCTTCCCAGCATAAAGTATCTTCAATGGTTGTTGAGGTTCAACTTTTGGGGGGAGATGCGATTCAGGACAAATCTGTCAACTGTAGGCGAGAAGGGGTGGCCTCTGTATTCTCACTACCTTTCACTTTGTTTCTACTGACTGCAAAAAAGTGTTTCCTCAATCAATGAGGGCCCAACTCAGCCATGGAGGCCCCCCGCAGAACACAAACCTGAGTGCTTTTAGCAACAAAGGGAAAAGTGGACAGTGAATCCTCTATGAATCAACATAAGCAATCCTTGTGATGCTATTATGTATTATGTATGATCTTGTGTGGGACATGTATGCCCATGACCCGGTTCAAGTTTGAAAAGAAGTAGGGTCGTGGTAGAAAGATTTTGACTGTCTCGGTGGGCCGAGATGTCTTCTGACAGTAGCTCTGTGTCTCCTGTTACAGGGAGTGCAGGTAACATTTTGGTGTCTCAGAGCTTCTCTATGGATGAATACCAGACCCTCGTGGGCTCGGTCTCGGGGCCTGGCGCATCTTCTACGAAGACAGCCGCCGTGCCTGGAATAGGCCTCAGCGCTCTAAAAACATGTGTTTCTTCCTCAATGATTGCGCAATCAATATACTACATGAAACATGGTACCAGTGTTATGCTTAGGAAAGTCATCGCTGCAGCGGTGCAACGTGGAAGGATCAGACACCCCAGAGTCTTCGGCAAGCAAAGACAAGAAGAAAGACAAGAACAAAGACAAGACTGACAAGAATGACCAGAAGACCAAGACAAACAAAGACAAAGAAACAAAGAAACGCAAAACCAAAGGAGAAGAGGAGGAGGTAGCACCGCTGCCAGGCAAGGGACAGGATGATGAAGACAAGGAACAAGGTGGTAGCGATGAACAACCATCTAAGAAGAGAGGAAGACCTCGAAACCAAACTGAGAGTGCAAAGAAGAAAAAGAAGGAGACCTCAGCAAAGGGAGAGAAAAAGAAACAGCGCAAAAGCAAGAAGAAGAGTGCTGACAACATGGACGCTGCAACGACAGAATCAGACTCAGACTCAAACGAATGTCCAAACGAGACTACCCCAACGTGCGTGAAACTTGCGAGTGTGCGGGCTATCCTACAAGAAGCGGACCGCGCAGAAGCTCGAGCACTCTCCAAGCATGCGGGTCCTGTTGAAGTGGTGGACTTGGTTGAGGAGGAACATGACAAGGTTGGCCATGCTAAAGCCCTACAGTAGTCACAGAGTCAATGTAGGTTTCCTAATATTTCATTCCCAAAAGCAGGCACGACCATCTTCGGACAGCCAGCAGGAGGCAATGTGTTTCTGCTTCATTCTGATTTGGGGACATCAAATGGATTGAGAGCTCACAGTTTTTTGAATGTGGGCAGTACCAAAACCTAAAAAAGCTTCAACATGTTTTGCAAACGTAAACACCGTCAGATGCCTACAATGCTGCTGTGCAGGGTACGTTCTCTTCAATGAGAAGGATGTTTGCCTTTGAGGCATTGTATTTTACTTTGGTGAGATTTCAGTGCAACCGAATCTTCCTAGTATAGTTTGGATTTGACTACTTTGAGTATTCAGGATCTGGCTCTGTTAATGCACGAGGACCCGAAGGCGCTCGCATTGAGGGCCTCACCGCACTTTCATGCCACACTTCCCCATGCCGCCAAGGTCAGCGCTGCCAAGGCCTGCCCACGTCCAGAGAGCTATTCTGAGATGGACTTCGATTCCCAACCATATTTGCACCCTGAACTGGGTGATGGCTATGAGGTAAGGCACGCAGTGTTTCTTCAACCCTGAAAGATCTGTGGTTTCCTTTCAAAAGACATTTGTTCACCGGAAGGTGAGCAACATGAGTCTGGACAATTTGAAGCCTGAGCAGGAGCAGGAACACACTGAGGCCTGCTCTTTATATACTGCTCACGGTGGGGTTGTGTGTGTGTGCTTGGATGGCTTTGGAGGTTGCTGCACCACGTGACCTTGAAGAGCAGGCCCACTATGTTTCCTGGAAAGGCTTTAGGGGCAAAGGATTAGGCCCAACTGTGTACCCAGCCAGTTGAACGGGCAGGCTCACAAGTTGGAAACGCCCAACGCTGTTGCTGAGGCAGGTGTCCTGACTGTTTCATCCCTATCATATCCACCTTATTCCCTGCGAGGCGGAAGTCATTGAATGCTCGCCCGATAAGAAGGCAGGTAGTGAAAAAGAGTGCATCCCAACTGCGACACTGACTTCAGATACAACTGTAGCTGTACATTGGGTGTTGCAATCCAGGATGATGATGAAGAGCGTGAAAGGGATATACTGTCCCAAACCACTGCAGTCTGGACCCCGGAAGGCAAGACTCCCCAAACGGTCTGGCCTGAGAATCACGCCAGGAACTGCCTGGTCTGGGCGATGAGGATGAGGATGATGTTGCCATGACCTCGGAGGCAACACTGGTCGAAACAAACTTGGGATTCAATGCACCACCAACCATTTGGATAATTATCGATGGCTTCAATACCGAGATGGGTTATTCCACTAAGGGGTCTTGGTTCCTCCAAAATGTTCTCATTGATGGGTTTCCCCCCCAAAGGGAAAATACAGCGAGACTTCATTCTGATATTTTGTGATGCCACCCAACTTGTTTTAAGTATGGGGCTGCACAAACAGGTAAACAAAAACAAGGGGTGTATGGTGGTGTGAGCAGTGAGGCCCTTGGGCCATCGCATATATAAATAAGCGCAAGGGACTGTCGCCAAGTTCTTTATCTCCACAACATGACTGATAAGGGACCATCGCAATCTCTTCAACCTCAGCAGTTGTTGCCCCTTCGCCAGGTTCTGCCTGGCTCTAGTGTCGCGGAGGCTCGACCGGAATCCTTCAGCCGGCGTTTGACCGTTGGTCGTTCTGGCTTGCACAAGTCAGACTGTTCTTTCGGTAGCCCCCAAGCCTAGGGTGCTTGGTTGACACCCTCCAAGCCTTTGCCGGCAGCGATTGAATCCTGTGGCTGGACACTCACAGATTTTTCCACTTTCCAGTGGTGATTGGGATTCAACACGATCTCCCCAGTCTGGCTGAATAGCATCAGGCTCTCGTTGAGATTGGGCCGACGCTCTGCCTTTTTAAAGTATCCTTGTTCTCCAACTTCACCTCTGATTTGGCCCCTTCATCTTGGGGTTTTGAGATGGGAGCTCTCCACTCCATACAAAGTATTCGTCCCACGCAGGGTTTGAGAGTCGAAATGCATTTCCAATATCTCGAGAGGCATGAAGGCATTGTAAATAGCAGCGAATAGTAAACATTGCACTCCACATAATGGTCCCACGATGTCCCACGCAGGGCTTGAGACTAAACATAGCGGCTAGCAGAATCCTTTTTTATTTTACTCCACACCGTGGTCCATGGCATGGTCCCAAAGACTTGTCCAGGCAAAGATGGTGGCTCCACAGCCTACCCCATTGGAGATTCTCAATGCCCGGCGCAAGCCCAAGGCCAGCCCAAAGAAGAAGGGCAAGACAGAGAGACCCAAAGCCAATAAGAGTCCCAAGCGCAAGAGTCCCAAGGGCAAGAGTGCCAAAGACAAGACTACCAGCCCTCCCAAGAGTGCCAAGGGCAAGAGTTCCAAAAGCAAGAGTCCCAAGTGCGGCAAGAGTCCCAAGTGCGGCAAGAGTCCCAAGGGCAAGAGTCCCAAGGGCAAGAGTTCAAGTTCCAAAGAAAACAGTTCCAAGCCACAAAGCACTGCAGTGAAGTCAAAGGCTTCAAAGCCTTACAAGATGGGATACAATAACATCTACAGCCGAGTTTATCGGCAACGTCTTCGAGCCGGCGATTCTATCGAGCAGGCTTGCTTGAATTTGTGAAACTGTTGCACACTGTCACACTGTGTTCTGACCATCTCCCCCCATCTCCCCACTGGCCTGCCCAGGCACGTTTGCAGGCTCAGCTTGATGCGCGTGCTGGTGGTGCTGGGGCCCCCGCAAATGCCGGGGGCAGCTGAAAGATCTCTGGGGGGCCGAGCGAAAAATGGTTGCGGCGGACCCCACAGGTTTCCACACAAAGGTTTCCCTCTCTTCTAAAAAACACAAAAACACCCAACAAGCCACAACAAGCCATTATATCAAGTTCTGGTTGCAAATGCTTCAAGTTCTGATTGTCATGATGGTCTTTTAAAAGTGGCCATCGTTTGCGAGCTACACATGAGCTGGGAGCTCGAATTGAAGGTGAGGCTGGCTGGATTGGAGGTGACACCAGGCGGCTGCTTCGAGTCGCAAAACTGAGCATATGGTTGGCCTTCCGTGCAAATCTCCGCTACAAGAGCCTTCAGATCTCATTGGGGCGGTGGATGCACATCCTTCAGTTCAGGCGGGCCGCCATGGCTCACTTTGAAGCAGTGTGGGATTTTCTTAGCCTGAAAGGGCAACGACGAGAATGGCGAGCGCGAGTTGAGCTCTTTTCGGCATGTTTTGGGTTGCCCCTTCTGCACAGTGACC